AAACCCTCTGAGGCATATCAATACCCCCATCGGCAAGATTCAGCTTGTCCTCAAATGAAAATAAAGGAAACTGCTGTTTAAACTCTCTCACACGCATCCAAGAGTTCTCATGTTCCGGTAAATGACGCCACTTAACTAGCACCTCTGAAACAACCGCTGGCTCACTGACTGTTGGCGATATGGTCTCATCTTCAGATAAGCCTTAGAGCCAACTTCCAACTCCAACTCACGCCTATGCTTATCAGCATTGTCCTTCATCCGAGCTTGAGCTCTCAACAAGTTTTGTTTAATGGAACTCAACATTCTCTCCCGTTCCTGTAACAACTCATTCAACTCACAATTCACCGTGGATCCAGCCTCATATGGAACCAACGTTGGTGGCTCCCTTCCATACACCAGTTTAAACGGAGTACACTTTAACGCCGTGTGATAAGATGTGTTGTACCACAGCTCTGCCCCTGACAAGTACTTCGACCAGGTTTTAGGATGCGTAGATGCGAAGCAACAAAGGTAAGTTTCGACACAACGGTTTAAGACCTCATATTGGCCATCAGTTTGAGGGTGAAAAGCCGTACTGAATCTAAACCGTGTTCCCGATAACCTGAAACACTCTTTCCAAAACTTGCTCAAAAATATCTTATCACGATCAGATATAATGGATCTTGGAAAGCCGTGTAACCGTATCACTTCCTTAATGAATTTCTCAGCCACATCAACTGCTGTGAAGGGATGTTTGAGTGTCAAGAAATGCCCATATTTTCTCAAACGATCCACCACAACCAATATCACATTAGCTCCGTGAGAAACAAGCAAACCCTCAATGAAATCCATGGCGATATCTTCCCATATGCACTCTGGTAGGTCGATAGGTTGCAGAAGACCCGCTGGAGAAAGTGTTGAATACTTGTGTGTTTGACAGACTTCACACGCAGCAACGTATTCCTGTATTTCCTTCCTCATCTTAAACCAATAAAAATTGGCCTTAACTCTCTGTAGCATTCGCAACACTCCAGCGTGACCACCTAACACACTATCATGATATTTCTGTAATATCAATGGAATATGAACTGAAGTTGCTGGAATCACCAACCCACCCTTGTAAAACAGTCTTCCATGCACCAAAGTAAACCCATCCTTAACCCTTTCCCCTGATCTCATCTTAGCAATCACTTGACTTATCTCCCATCATCATCAATCTTTTTATACACATCCTGCAACTGTAATGACGTTGGCATCGTCATTGTCATCAGAATATGGTGTAAAACCGACGCATCACTATGATCAATTCTCGAAAGACCATCCGCCACTTTATTTTCACTACCAACCTTATACTCAATGTCGAATTCATACCCCAAAATTCGAGTTAACCATCTCTGATAATCCAAGGTGATCTCACGTTGTTCCAAGAGATACTTTAGACTCTGTTGATCAGTCCTTACCACAAATCTTCTACCCAACAAGTAGTGGTGCCACTTCTGAATTGACATTACGATGGCCATTAACTCCCTCTCATATATTGGTTTCTACTGCTCTTTCTGCGTGAGACCTCTACTGAAGAAAGCAATAGGATGTAAGTCTAGCATGAGAACATCACCTAATCCGAAACCAGAAGCATCAGACTCAACAATGAACAGCTTGTTAAAATCTCGCAATGCCAACACAGGAGCTACTATCATCGCTTGCTTCAGTTCATCAAAAGCACCTTGAGCCTCTTCAGTCTATATGAATTGATCTTTCTTTTAAAGATCTGTAAGAGGCCTTGCAATAGAGCCGTAATTCTTCACAAACCTCCTATAATACCATGTAAGTCCCAAGAATCCTCTCAGTTCCTTAACAGATTTAGGTGTAGGCCAATGTTTCACCGCTTCTATCTTGTGAATATCGGTTGAAACTCCAGTGTTAGAAATAACATGACCCAAGTATTCAACTTTAGACTGAGTAAAATCACACTTCTTCCTATTTGCAAACAATCTCTGCTCGACAAACACGTCTAGAACCAAACCAAGATGCTTCACATGATCTTCCCACGTCTTGCTGTAAATGAGGATATCAATACCAACACAAACTTCCTTAAAAACTTCCTGAAAACATCATTCATAAGCGCATGAAACGTTGCAGGGGCATTCGTGAGGCCGAAAGGCATCACCAGGAACTCAAAGTAACTGTCATGAGTCCTAAAAGCAGTCTTCTCCACATCTCTCTCCAACATCCTTATTTGATGATATCATGATCTTAAATCCAGCTTAGAAAACAGTTTAGCTCCGTGTAACTCATCCAACAGTTGATCTATCATTGTATCCAACGCTGTTGCTCGGTTCAATGCTCTGTAATCAACACAAAAGCGATGGGAATTATCCTTTTTTTTTACCAATAACACATGACTTGAATACGGACTGACACTCGGTCGAATTAATTCTTCAGTTAACATCTCCTGTACAAGCTTCTCCATGACTTCCTTGTGAGCATGAGGATACCTATAAGGTTTCACACTTATGGGTTTAGTGTTATCATGTAGAATGATCGCATGTTCTCTGCCTCTCAACGGTGGTAAACCTTTTGGTTTCTGGAACACATCATCATATTGTTGTAGCTTCTGCTCAATTAGCACAGGCAACACTGCTCTCTTCTCTTCCTGAGACGTGACGTTTCTCAATTCCATATGTACTCCTCTCGTCTGCGATTGAACCTCAGAAGAAAATGTCTTCAAAGAAACCTTCATACCATATAATGATGGATCCCCCTGTAGAACAACTTTCCTTCCTTTATACACAAATGACCATTCATTCTTTTCCCAATCCACCACACAAGTTCCCAAAGTCCTCAGCCACTGAACTCCCAAAATAACATCAGCATTTCCCAACTCCAAAACAATGAAATCCGCCTCAAAACTCATAGAAGGTAGGCTCACTCGAACATTCTTGCAAATTCCAGTCCCTTGAACGGAAATACCCGTACCCAGCAGCACGTTCAAATTTGGATTTGATGTTGTGCTGAGCTTAATCTTCTTGACTGCAGTTGGTGAGATGAAATTATGTGTTGCACCACTATCAATCATCACCACCACCTCTGTCTTTTTAATATCACCTCTTAGCTTTGTTGTAGTAGGAGAAGATAACCCCAAAAATGAGTTCAACGATAATCCCATCATAGTTGTTTCTTGGCCTTCTTGATCTTCCTCAACTTCCACCAATTATTGATCCACAATCTACACTTCAAGACCGTTTATCATCGTTAACACCTGAAGGTTTTTGTTTGGACATAGATGTTGACGAGACCATTTGTCATCAAAAGTAAAACAGAGCCCTAACTTCTTCTTTTCTGCAGTTTGAGCCTCTGTCAACCTTAATGGAGTCCTCTGAATCGTTTGTTCTGCTGGTTTTCCTTGAGGAGACTTAGAAAGGTTAAATCTTGTAGACGAAGCAGGTTTCGTGTTACTACTCTTCCACGCCTGTTGCCTTTCTCTACACACCACCTTATACATCACACTATCCTCCATTTGGTAAGCTGTTGAGATCATCTCATCCAGGTCTACATGCGTACACATATTCACCACTTCCCTCATATCTGGTTGTAAGCCATTCAAGAAAATTCCTTCAAGTTGTCTATCTGTCAACCCCGAAACCTGTGTTGATAGATCTTCAAACAAGTGACTGTACTTCGCTACTGAACCGGTTTGTTTCAAAGCAAAGAATGGTTGACTTGGATCCCGTAACTTCTCCTTGCTGAATCTTGTTACCAATCTCTCTTTGAAATCAGTCCAACTCGTGAATCCACGACGATGCATCTCACTATTAAACCAACTGAGCACATCACCAGCTAGACTCACTGAAACCACCTCCAATTTGGCTCTATCATCATAACCTCAAAATCTGAAAAACCTCTCAGCTAACGCAAACCAAGCATACGCATCGTCCCCCTCAAAAACTGGAAGTTCAACTTGTTTCAACATTTTTTCTCGACTTCCAACCACATGATATCTATGAACCGGTTCGTCGTGCCTAAAACTACGGCCAGGTTCGACGTTCGAGTGATGTACCTGATAGTTAGGATGTCGATACAGCGGAGGAGTATCGTCTGAGCTAACCAGAATCTTCGACAGCTTCTTCTCGATTCGTGACCACAAAAGCTCCGCACTCGCCTCGATCTACGCTTCCAAATCACCGATCTTCGATTCCAAACGCTATTTTATCGCCTTCGCCTTTTCCTCCATCAGTCGAATCGAGGTCGTCAATCGCTGATCCATATCGAATTGAGATGTCGCCAAAGAATCCACCGAGATTTGTGGCTCCTCCAACGAGAAATCCGCCATTGATTCGTCGCGAAAGTTCCGATCCAGAGCGCTCACCGTCACCAACTTGATAGAATATGAATGTAATTTTGATTAAGAACCTCCCAACTACCCTCTCTTAGTCTCTTAATAGCATAGAACTAAGCCAATTACAAGAACTCAGTGAGCAATAGCTCATCCAAAATCTCGCTAAAGAATCAATAAACTTCTGAATCCTCTTATATATGAGGTTCAGTAACAACCACTCAAATGTAACTAACTCCTAATTGCCTTCTCCACGTCCCTCTCCAATGTAACTAACTTCTAACAGCCATCTTCACGTCATCATTCTTCTTCTCCTGCACATCCGATCTCCTATCTTCTAGCTTCTTTCTCTTTCTTATGTAAACCCTCTGAGGCATATCACATTACATACTGAATAATCTGTTACCAATGATAGTGAAACAGAGCCAACCAATGGAAAGTGTAAACCACCACGGCCTTTTGTGAAGCTAAAAAGTAGCACAAGTGGTCTTTTTGTGAGTTCTTTGCCGGAAAATTCAAAAGTTCAGAGAGGGTATATAGTTGAATACTAAGCTTAAATCAACTTTACATCAACCAAGACAGCTGTTTTAAAGATGTACAAAGATAACCATTACAGATTGAGTAATCTATTATTACCAATGATAGTGAAAACAGAACAAACCAATGCATAGTAGAAACCATCATGGTTTTAACATGTTCCACCACTCTCTTGATGAGCCTGAGACTCCCAGAAGAGACTGACAGAGGAATAGATAAGATAAGGCTCAGCCATTGCGTCGTTACCATAGTCCCTACAAGCCAATCTCTTCTTGATGGGAGGAATAAACATGGCTCCAAGTTCATCAAACGACAAAAGATGTCTCTCCGTGAAAGGACCGTTCCACATCAAAGTATTCATGGCAGGCGCAAGCGGTCTGCTATAATCCCAAGCTCGAATAATACAAGTCAGAAGATTATCACACATCCCACCACAATCTATAAGGAGACAAAAAGTGATTTCAGACAAAGAAAACTCACAACTGGATCAATTAGTGGCAAAGGAGTGTCTAATAGTCGGTCCTCCACTAGGGTTCAATTTTCATTGTTTGGGTTCGGGGCGAAACTTTTTTTTTGCACAAAAAAAACTCACAACTTGTCCAAATTAGGGTTTTTAAATGTTGTTTTTTACCTTTGTAATGTGTAAGCAGACAAAGGAGCAATGACCAAAACATCAGCCCAACGTCAAAGCTCAATGTGAAGCACGGGATCACTGATCTTGTTCCAGCTTGACAACTCTTCTTCATCAGTGTACAGAGTCACTTCCCGTTGGAGAAAGAGACTGTCTAGAAATTGTAACAACCCATGACGTGACCCAATTTTTTTTGTTAAGGCACTTGGGCCTGCCTACGGCCCATTAGGACAAAAACCTAGATTTGCCTTTCTTCATCCTATAAAAGGAGTTGCAGCCTCCTCTTTTTGCCCCATTCACAAAACGAGAAGCGAAGTTCTGCATAGAATTCCTGGAGTCCGAAAGCCCTAGCCGTCAGCCTCCTCTCTCTTTCTCTCTCCCGCCACAGCTCTCTCTCTCCTCTCTTCTCTCTCTCCGCACGTCTCTATCCCCTCGCCGCTTCCTTTCTCTCTCTTCGCCGTGAGCCGGCGGTGGTGGTGGTGATGTGTGTTGTGGAAGCTTCCAGATCTCATCTCTTTCCTCTCTTGTTCCAGATCCAAATCTCAGACCTATTTGCTAAGGTGAGGTGATTTGAAAACCTAGAGCTGTTTCTCATAATCTCTATTCTGGTTGATGCGGGAATTAGGGTTTGGTTAGTCCTTGTTTGAAAGTTAAGTTGATAGATCATAATGGGAGTTAGTTTGTTAGATGAATGAATCATGATGCATAAGAACCTTCACACTGTTTAGATGAGACTTAATGAACTGCCTTATGTTGATGTGGATAATGATTGGTGATGAATGATTGTATGAGTGATTGTGTCCCATTTGATGATGATGAATGAAAGCTAGGTTGTTAGAAAGAAGTGAATGCTTGAGGTGATAGATCTGTAATTGGTAACAGTTGTTATAAATGATGAATGTGAAGTGACCTTCCGATAGCTTCTAAAGTGAAAGATAGATGAATACGAATGAGATATCTCTTGGTTTTGATGTATAAGAATATGAATGCTATATGAATTGTGTGAGACACCGATAACGGGTGGCATCTAGAGTCGAGTATAAGAATGAGAACAAGAATGAGTTAAAGTGAATTGGGTATGAGAATGAGAATGATAAGGAATATGAGTATGAGTATGAGTATGAGTATGAGTATGGAATGAGAATGAGAATAAGAATGGGAATGAGTATGAGTAAGAGAATGAGAAAGTGGATAAGAACATATATGAGAATGGAGTCATGTCAATGAACTTGTTTGAAGTCATGTTTAGGCCACCGAGAACGGGTGGGTATCTAGAGTCTAGGATGTGGGCCCACGAGACAGTATCCTAACACGAGGTACCCATGGGCGAGATGTGAGTGGCCGTGAAAGGACGGCGTCCGTAGAAGACACCTCTAGGAGGGACCTGCGGGATAAGAAATAGGCGCCTTAAGATCAAGTCAAATATGGCTATTAAGACCGGGGTGGCAGACAGTGTTGGGAGCCAACGAGCTGCAACTCGGATAGTCATTTAGGAAGTTGTAGGGGGGACGGATTTCCCGAGAGAGGGCGCCCTTTCCAGATTAGGCCGGAACGCGTAGGGACATGTGAAGCAATGGCTGAGTCCTTGCGGTGTATGAACGTTAGGGTGCTAGAATTCTATATTTGAAATGTTTGTTGTGTGGCTTGTATGTGCATATTGATTGTAGTGGCTAGTCGGTTTTGTTTCCCGCATGGAGTAGTGTAGAGTGCCATGCGGACATACTGGACTAGAGTCACTTCACTGAGTAACCTCAATTGCTCATCCCTCCTTTTCCCATTTTCCCTATGCGCAGGACTGTATGTAGAAGTATGTGGATACGGGTGGATCAAATTTCATTAAAAAATGTGTCCGCCGACTCCTGGGACCAGTAGGGACACGTAGGGTTGCCTAATTGAGTAGACACGTGTCCGTAGCACCCGTTTGCTGAACCTCGGTCGGACGCCGGGGGAACGGGTTGTTACAAAATGCATAGACGATTTTAAGACGACGGCTCTCATTTCTTCCCTGTCTCGTTTCCTTGTCTCCATTGACTCCTTTGAAACTATAACATAATGATGGATGGTTCGGTGTGGAACCCTAGCCGAAGAACTCAGAGCAACCCCGATGAGAGGTTATAGATCTTGAGTTTTAAAAGTACACTAGATTTTGATCCGCCCGGTTGCGCGGTGTTTGTTTTCGTTTATAGTTAGTTATATAAAAAAATTGTTTTCACTTGTAAATTGGTATATATTATAGTAATCAAATATTTACGATATTTACGATATGTATAGTAGATATTTTTCAAACATAATAATATTATATAATACGTGTTTTAATCAAATAGATTGTTTCAAATCTTTTATATTATACATGTTTTTTAAAAATGTGTTTATTTCTTCTTCTATATTTTATTGTTTGTTAGATTGGTATTTCATTTTTAGATAAAATAATATAAACAGAGCTTGATTAAATATTAGTATACTTTAATTTGCAAAGATAATATAAACTTTGAAGAAATTTTTGATAAAAACTAAACTTATAGCTTCATAAATTAATATTATAAAGAATTTTATTAAAAAAAAAAATTTTTAAACAATTTCTTTTTTTTAAACAAGATAATTTTAAAATTTTACATCGAAATAAAATTATCTAGTATATATAGTGTGTAAATTTTGTTAGGGTATATAAATATTCCATATTATGAATCTGTGATTTTTGTTAATATATTGTGGATGCATTTAACTATTATTGACATATTTTCTTATAAATAATAGAAAATTCCTAAACTTATATCTATTCACATATTTTGCGTGACTAAGTTGGAAGGCGTGGGGTAATTTACCAAAACCAAATTGTTAAGCGTATATTTGTTATTACTAGGTGATTTTCCCGTGCTCATACACGGGTATAAGTATTTTTAAAGTAAATATATGATAATAATTGATTACTATTTAGTTTAATTTTCAATTAATTTATAATTTGTATGTATCATTTATATTAATAATATTATATTATTTTAATTATACTTTAATTTTATATATGTTATATCTAATCGATTTTGTTGTTTTTACGGTTGATTTAGTTATCATTTGGATAAATTGGATTGCATCTCTGAATTCACCTATAATATTTTAAATTATATTAATTTTTTTATTAATTACATATCTGCATATAGTGGGTGTTGTCTTAGATATGTAAATATATTTTAGTAAAATTATGTATAACTTAAGATATATTGTTCTTAGAATGAATTAAAAATTAACTAAAATGTCTGATTCCAAAATACGTAAATTAATATAAAGATAATATTCTAAAGTCTCACGTATATATATAAATTTTACAAAAGAACTAAAATTGTAAGAGTTGGTTAATATTTATTTTCATTTATTAGTATGTTTTGTATTATTCTATGATCAATAAAAGGCTACATGCATAAGTAGTTGATATATTATTGGAACCTCATAAACACATATCAATATTTACAATAATTAAAATATTTATAAATTCTAACTTTATGCTTTAGATTTATTGAATGTAAACTGAAATTTATTTTAAATAATCTTAAAATCGGAAATTCAGATTTGCTTTGGTATTTTAACTATGGTTATATTTATTTTCACAAACATAAAAATTTAAAATTTAAAATAAAATTTAATATTAAGAAAAGTATAATTTTAATAATGATAAAATTATTTGATCAAGCGATGTTTATTGTTAAATTTATTTTTTATTTTTAATATCTCTTAAAATAAGCACTACATAAAATTAAAATTGTATTTGAAAATAATATTATATAACTAAAATATAATTTATAGATAATTTTCTGTAGTTGAAAGATATTATAGTCAACTAAATATATGAAAAATAAATAAAAAATTCAATAATACTAACTATAAAATATTTTTATTACTCTAAAAGTATATTTTATGTTATTTAAAAATATTTTTAAATGTATTATTACTATTTTTTGAACTTTCCTTTTTTTATGTAATCATATTATATATACATATATTTTTCCTTTTCAATTTGGTTTTATGACATTTTTAAATGTATTATTACTATTTTGTGAACTTTCCTTTTTTTATGAAATCATATTATATATACATATATTTTTTCTTTTCAATTTGTTTTTATGACTTTATAAAAAATTTCCTTTTTATTACATATATTTTTGGAAATTTTTGAAAAGGAAACTAAATAAAAGAATTAATAATACTATTTTAACTATTTTTAATTCATTAAGGGTATCAATGTAATCAACCATCGTGAGAGTGAACGTGAAAGCGACACATAGGAAACTGACTTCTCAAATAATATTATAGAGACTAGGTGATTTTTCCGTGCTCATGCACTGGTATAAATATTCATAAAAGTAAAATTTTATAATAATTGATTGATATTTAGTTTTAGTTTTGTATCAATTTATATGTATAATTTATACTAATAAATATTATATTATTCTAATTATACATATGACTTTGGATATATTATTGTCGGTTTAATTATTTTTTGGATCAATATTCGGTTTGGTTATCAATTTGGTATATTGGATAATATTTATTTCTCGAATTCAGCTATAATATTTTTTTTATTGTAAATATAATAAAACTTTGATTAATTTTCTTATTTTTATTTTGGTTGGTTATTGTCTTAGATATGTAAATATATTATAGTTAAATTATATATATATATATATTGTGCTTAAACTAAAATAAATAATAAGCTGAAGTGTTTGATTCAAAATTACATAAATGAATATAATGATAATATTTTGAAGTCTCGTGCATATATATAAATTCTACAAAAGAATAAATTGTAATTGGTTAATATTTTCTTTTTATTTTTAATATCCTTTGAGTCAACCTCTAATTTATATGTATAAAATTAAATAGATTATTATTACTCTAAAATTATATGTTCTTATTGTAGTTAGATGTTTAATTTTGGATATAAATTAGATTAGTCGAGTCATTCATGTTGTGAGTATATTGAGTTAAAATTGAAGTATAATTACTTTTTATTTTAGTTAAATCCAATCAAATTAGTTATATTTATTGCTTAAATATTTATGTATTTTCATAATATTTATTTATTCCTTATTTTAGTTAAGTCAAATCAAATTAGTTTTATTTATC